TATTTATTTTTCAAGGTGAACTCCACACACACAAAAACATTCATTAAAAATATATTCCTTGATAGTCATAAAAGATTTAAATCTGGTTAGTGTGCAGCAAATGCATTTTCAAACCCAGATATTAACTTGTAAATGTAGCAGTGACATCATCACTGTGATGTAGATAGCAGAGCTGTGGGAGGGTCCCAGCAGGCTGCCTGCAGAAAACTATAGGGGAGACAAGACCAGTCACCCTGCACAAGGAGAGAGAGGAGCAGTGACCTGTCTTTGTTTTAGTACCTCCCAAGAAGAAAAAAACCTCAAGGTCTAGAGACAATGGGTATTCCGGGAGTCCCCAATCAGAAAATCCTAGAACAAACCACACTAAAATAATTGGTTATGGACTCAACCAGGACTCAAACAAATTCAAGCCTACCTCTAAGGCAGCCAGTTTATACCGAAAACCGGGCAAAACCGGGCAGGAAGGGAAGGGCGCCTCCACACTTCTAGATCCACTGAAGATACTCATGGCTGCAGCATGATAAGTATCAAATACATTACCTTCATCCTGCTCCGACACCTTGAACTGTTTATACCCATGCACTATATGCATTAAGGAACTGTTGCTTATTCCACTACTATGTCCTGTTGGTGGCCACAAGGAGACAGACCCTATAAATGTAAGAGGGAGGTCCTGTTCATCTGAATCCTCCCTGGGACGGTGCCTTAAAATTATGGGATACCAGAGGGAGGTGAAGACTACCATTATCTACACAATTACATGGCTTGTTCCCTCCTCTGGACTACATCTGGTCTGGCCCTTCGTTTGAGTTCCCCAATGTCCTAGCACTCACCAGGCTATCTTTATAGTGCAAGAGGGAGGTTGTTGTTGATTACGTAGCATTCCAAGAATTTCCTCCTCTGGACTGCAGAATACTTCCACTTAATATTTCTCCTTTGCAATACATTTCTCATGTGGAAAAGCATCAAGTTGTACTTCCAGGAATGATCCTTTATGAGGACTTTATTCTTGGCACTTTGGAGTTTCAAATGCAAAGCTGTATTGGTCATCATGAGACATTAGTGATGTGTATACAGAGTTCAGTTATGTCCCCCCAAATCCAAAGGGGGAACAGTGTGAGATCTGTGGAGTGTGGTGTTTTTTTTTTGTTTTGTTTTTTCATGTTTTTAATGATATTTTCATTACATACAGTTGTGTCCAAAATTATTCAACCCCCACTGAAATTGAGTGTTTTGGCCAGTTTGACATTGCTTTTGATCATTCAGTCATCTTGCTTACATTTACATTAAAGAGGCACTTGTAGGTCAGACAAATATAACATAACAGTTATAATGAAATAACCACAAATGTCTTTTCTGTGCTCACAGCATTATCAGTTTTATTCAACCCCCAAGTGACATTCAATCTTAGTACTTAGTACAGCATCCTTTTACAGTTATAACAGCTTTTAAAACGTGAAGCATAGCTTGACACAAGTGTCTTGCAGCGATCTACGGGTATCTTCGCCCATTCTTCATGGGCAAAGGCCTCCAGTTCAGTCACATTCTTAGGCTTGCGCACTGCAACTGCTTTCTTTAAGTCCCACCAGAGGTTCTCAATCGGATTTAAGTCTGGTGACTGCGATGGCCACTCCAAAATGTTCCAGCCTTTCCTCTGCAACCATGCTCTAGTGGACTTGGAGGTATGCTTGGGATCATTGTCCTGTTGAAAGGTCCAACGTCTCCCAAGCCTCAGGTGTGTGACGGACTGCATCACGTTTCCATCCAATATCTCCTGGTACTGAAGAGAATTCATGGTACCTTGCACACGCTGAAGCTTCCCTGTACCTGCAGAAGCAAAACAGCCCCAAAGCATGATTGACCCTCCACCATGCTTCACAGTAGGCAAGGTGTTCTTTTCATCATAGGCCTTGTTCTTCCTCCTCCAAACATAGCGTTGATCCATGGGCCCAAACAGTTCTAATTTTGTTTCATCAGTCCACAGAACACTATCCCACAACTTTTGTGGTTTGTCCACATGGCTTTTGGCATACTGCAGTCGACTCTTCTTATTCTTTGGAGACAGCAAAGGGGGTACGCCTGGGAGTTCTGGCACGGAGGCCTTCATTACGCAGTGTGCGTCTTATTGTCTGGGCTGAAACTTCTGTACCCACATCTGACAAATCTTTTCTCAGTTCCTCAGCAGTCACACGGGGACTTCTCTCCACTCTACGCTTCAGGTAGCGCACAGCAGTCGAAGTCAGCATCTTCTTTCTGCCACGACCAGGTAGCGTTTCAACAGTGCCCTTTGCCTTGAATTTGCGAATGATGCTTCCTAAGGTGTCTCTTGGTATGTTTAACATCTTTGCAATCTTCTTATAGCCATTGCCCTTCCTGTGAAGAGAAATCACCTCTTCTCTTGTCTTCCTGGACCATTCTCTTGCCTTCACCATGTTTGTAACCACACCAGTAAATGTCTAGAAGGAGCTGAGTATCACAGTCATTTTAAAGCTGCCTAATTGGTGCTTATTATGCTTGATTGCTGCTCGGTGACATCCACAGGTGTTTTCAATACCTGATGGAAAGCACCTGTATGAACCTCTGTTCTTCAGAGTGGTAGTCTTTAAGGGGTTGAATAATTGTGGCAATGAAGAAACCACATAAGAACCATTTACTACTGTATTACATAAACAATTGATGTCATTTTAGTTGCATTTGGGTAGTTACAACGTCCTTGTAGGATTTGATTCTGAATACAATTCCAAATGTACACTATAGTCCCTAAACCCCTTTACAGCATTGGGGGTTGAATAATTTTGGACACAACTGTAAGTCGTTTATGGGTTCCTTGACCATCTGCTTACTAATTCATGTTTAGATTAACATAATTATCAAAAACCTTTGAGTCCTGGTTGAGTCCATAATCATTTTATTTTAGTGTACTTTATTACAGTACGCTCCTGTACACAGGCAAAGTCTCACAGTGGATTGCTGCACAGATCTGGAAGAAATTCAAAGAAGATAACAGACTTCTGTATTATTAAACACTATTTGCTTAACCTGGAGTTCAGCTTTCATTGAGCATATACTGTACATATACTTCTATTTTCTACTAGATTTCATCTGCATCTATCATACATGTTTAGCACATCTGCCCACTGTTTTAAATACTTTCCATTACATTGCATAATGCATAAATATTTAGAATTTAGAAACATATGAATGCAGTGAAGGGGTTAAAAGGCACTATGTACACCAGACCCCTGTATTAGCCCCTGCAAGTACAGGTGTGAGCAGGGGCAGACTGACAACTCATGGGGCCCCAGGGCGATAGGGGATCATGGGGCCCCTGTGTCCTTGCCCACACTCAAAGCACACTTAAAAAAGGTAACAGGGGCCTTTCATGGGGCCCCCTACTGACCCCGGGCCCTCGGGCAGTGCCCGAGTGTTCGAATGATCAGTCTGCCAATGGGTGTGAGAAGAAGTCATTACCACTGTCTGGGAGATGTACAGCATCTGACAAGCCCCCAGTTGGACAGGTGGAATTGAGTAAAGGACCAGAGACTCCTATTATACAACCAGTTCACATTGTCACAATATATACAAATATGATGTGCCACAGCCAAAGACTACAATCCTTTACGTCTGTTGTGAATGCTGTCATTAGTACACAAGGGACAGGATTCCTATTATGTTGTAGTATTGCTGCCAGCATTGCTGTAATACTGCAAATGATGTGTTCTGTGCTAGTGTAGCTAACAAATACTTTATCCCTGCAGTTTTTGAACCCCTTAGCTCCTTTGTGCTGTTAAGATGAAAGGTCATTTATAATAACAAGAAACGGGTAGCACAGTGGCTAAATGGTTAGCACTTCCACCTGGCAGTACTAGGGTCGTTGGTTCAAATCCCAGCCATGGCACCACCTGCCTGGAGTTTGCATGTTCTCCATGTGCCTGTGTGGGTTTCCTCCGGGTACTCCGTTTTCCTACCACACTCCAAAGACATGCTGGTAGGGTAATTGGATCCTGTCTAAATTGGCCCTAATATGTGTATGTATGAATGTGAGTTAGGGACCTTAGATTGTACGCCCCTTGAGGGTTAGGGACTGATGTGAATGTATAATATATATGTGTAAAGCACTGCGTAAATTGACAGCGCTATATAAGTACCTGAAATAAATAAATGTCAAAATGTCTTACATGACAATTACTTGCATTAAAAAAAACATTTATGGGTGCATTTGTATAATTTGGGCAGAACAGCCAGTGTTAATGTTAGAGATTCTGTATACAGTATAGCCCTACAATACTGACAGTGCACAGTCCACATATTTGTATCTGCTACTTCACTGCAAACAGGAAACAGGAACTTTATTTTAGAGAAAAGACATAGATGCAGCTGCAAACCTATAAACACTGCCATCTACTGGTTGGAAAATATATCTCTACTGAATACTGTTTACAGTAGTTGTTTCACAAAATACATGAACATTGTATTCCCACAGTTCTATAGACTATAGAATCTCCCACCTTCAACATAGGGAGGAGGTGTTCTATAGTCGACAGAATCTCCTATCTATAACATAGGGAGGAAGTGTGCTATAGTCTACATGTGAGCTGGGGGCCAGTTTTACTAGCCAGACAGTGGGCCGGGTCACTTACCCTGCATGTGGGGCATGTGCTCATCAATGCCTCGGGACGAGGCGGAGGCTGCATTCAGGTGAAATCAACCTTAAGGCGGCACCCTGACTTAGAGATTAGCTGTGCACCCAGTGCAATGAATGTCTGAAATACATTATGTTCCATGGCACTGCACACCTTGACTGTAAACCAGGGGTGGACTGACCATTTGGAAACTCGGGCACTGCCCGAGGGCCCGGGGTCAGTAGGTGGCCCCATGAGATGCCCCTGGTACCTTTTTCATAGGCTTTTTTGAGTTTGGGCAAGGACACAGGGGCCCCATGATCCCCTATTGCCCGGCGGCCCCATGAGTTGTCAGTCCTCCCCTGCTGTGAACTGTATCATTTAGGAGGGACACCATTGAGCCTATTCCCATCCCACCTATCCAGCATACATCTGCCACCTCACTACCAGTGACAGAATGGAGTCCTTCCAAACACCTGCGCAGACCTCATGCATGCTCTTTTCTTTTTTCTTTTTTCAGATTGGCGGTGGCAGCGGGCATCGCGGTTGATGTTGGAATTACTTCAGGGGACATTTTTTAGTTTTTTGTTTTTAATTAAGGACTTGTCAAAGACTATCTACTGTCATTTTTTACACTACATTTTTTTTTGGCAAATGAGTAGTGGTACTACGTACCCCACACTCATTCACATGGGGGGTGGGATTTGGGGCCTCCTTGTTAAAGGGGCTTCCAGATTCTAATAAGCTCCTCACCTGCAGACCCTGAAAACCACCAGCCACGGTGTGGGCTAGAGGCCCGACAGGGTTTCCTGACCTGCCGGGCTGCATGCTCAGATAAGTGTCTCGTATGGATTTTGGTGGGACCCCCACGCCATTTTATTAAAAAATGTTGACGTAGGGGGTTCCTCTCAAAATCTATACCAGACCCAAAGGGATTAGTAAGGATGAAGGGGGACCCCACGCATTTAAAAAAAAAAAAATTTTTTCATTGCTGGGCAAAGCTATCAACTCTTTTCACATTCATCTGTCAGAGGTGAACCCTGTTGAGAGCTGAAACAGTAAAGAGTGTTTTCAATACTAAAATACTGCATGACTTAATAATATAACTTATGCGGTATTTTAGTAGCTGTGCAGTATCTTACCCCATATTCAGATGTGGTAAGATACTGCTTAGTGAATTGTTCCCTCTGTTTGAGGTTCGCGGTCGAACAGGGGGGTGGTTCGGCCCATCACTAGCCTTAACTGACCCAAGTTCATTTCGTTGCCTTTGACCTTCATGCACCCCTGCTAAGTAACTTCAGACCAGACGCAGGAGCAAATTGGATCGTGCTTTGCTGGGGTTTTTTTGCCTTCCTCTGGATCAACTGTGGGTATAGGATTCTAACTTTTTTTTTTTATGGTTTAGCCAGAAGGGAGGGGGGCAGAGTTTGTGTGTGTGTTGGGGGGGGGCAGAGTTTTTGTGTGTGTGTGGGGGGGTGCTGTATGGTGGAGCATATTGTGATATTTATGGTGAAGCGTACTGTGATATTTATGGTGGATCATACTGTGATATTTATGGTGGATCATACTGTGATATTTATGGTGGAGCATACTGTGATATTTATGGTGGATCATACTGTGATATTTATGGTGGAGCATACTGTGATATTTATGGTGAAGCGTACTGTGATATTTATGGTGGATCATACTGTGATATTTATGGTGGAGCATACTGTGATATTTATGGTGGAGCATGCTGTGATATTTATGGTGGAGCATGCTGTGATATTTATGGTGGAGCATGCTGTGATATTTATGGTGGATCATGCTGTGATATTTATGGTGGAGCATACTGTGATATTTATGGTGGAGCATGCTGTGATATTTATGGTGGAGCATGTTGTGATATTTATGGTGGAGCATGCTGTGTTCTGACCATCCCCTGTGTTATGTCTGAAGTCTCTGACCATCTCCTGTACTACTCCTGCAGTGTCTGACCCTCCCCTGTACTAATAACAGTAACCTCTAGCAACCAATCAGTGAGAGGTAATGTGCTGTAACCTCTAGCAACCAATCAGTGAGTGTGGACCAGTTCTTTATGTTTATATTATTAACGTTTTTTTTTTCAGATACGTCTATGTGTGTGTTTATTTGTTTTTTGGGCTGTTGAGGGGGAGCCCAAAAAAATCTCAGACTCTACTTAACCATACACCCTTTAAGCCACGCTTCGCACGCCGCCATATTTTGATCTCCAGACCACACCCACAATTGATGCCCCGACCCGAATTTACATATCGCTCTGCCTACGCTGCCTTTCTGGACATACAATAAAAATATTTTTTTTTTTTAAATGTTGGCAACTATGTTAGAGCAGTCTTATGACTTCTATCAGTGTCCAGAAGAGCACATGTTAAAGCTTGTAGGAATTTTCATTCTGCTCTGGGAAGATGTTGGACCTCTGACCTCTGTCTGGACAGTGTTGATCACATGCACTCTCTCAAGAGAGAAGAAGAAAAAACCTCTCTAGCAATACACACCAAACTGAGCATGTGCAGAGTGACTCCACATGATATGTCTTATCAGGAGATAAAAGGGGGACACTGGAAGAAGGGGAGATCAGAGAAGTCAGGATCAAACAGCCTTTTTACACAATGCAGAGGATTAAACCCTTGGGTTCCTCAGTGAGTTAAGCCTTGCCCACAAGCAGAGATCACATGACAAATGTATCAGCATATAGTCAATTAACGCAATACCTGTCAGAGCCTGGAGGAGCGTTTTTTGCAGAAGAGGTATTACAGGTCTTTAATAATCATTTATTAATCTTCTGGGTTGGGTTTGGCAGAATAGTTTGGCATCATACAGGTCAAACTTAAAGTGTTATGAAAACCCAGGACCCTGCATTCACTCTATCTGGTCTCCCACAGTACACACAACATGGAAATGACATTATTGTAGTAAATATAAACTGCTAAATACCTTTTCTCATCAGCAGTTAGAGTAGTCTTGTGACTTCAGCTGAGCACTGGTTAAAGTTTGTAGGAGGAGTTTTCTCTAGGAGGGTGCAAAATGCTTGATCTCTGTCTGGACATTGCTAATTGGTCCTGTGCTGATGACATGTACTCTCCAGAGAAAAAAAAGCAATATACACTAAACTGAGCATATGCAGAAGGGCTACGGGTTCAGTCTGTCTTATCAGGTGGACATTTGAACAAGAGGAGGATCAGAGAAGTCAGGATCAAACAGCCTTTTTACACAATACAGAGGATTAACCCCTTAGGTTCCACAGTGAGTATAACAAGCATGCTTTACTGCATATACAGACTGATTTTACTGTTGTGGGTTTAGTAACACTTTAAATGGTATATTTAGCAGATCAAAAAGGAGCTTCATAGTTAAGATGTTCATACATTTGAAATTCCCTGTTGCCATACATGTTTGTTAGTAACAGTAAGAATAAGAAAATGCATATCTCAGATACTGCATCTCCAGTTTTTGTCAAGTTACTGGAATTTTGTCCTATTTGTAGCTAAATTGCGTCTCTGTGAAGATATGCATCAATGAAATCTAAACATAGAAAATGAGATGAGACCAGCATTATCTGCTGGAAGATAAAGATGAAGTTTTTTTGCATGCAATAACAAAGGTATTCCAATTAGCAGCAGAAGCTGCCACTATGTGCCTGATAAGGATAACAGCTAATCTCCTGCTGCTGTGATATGGTTATTAGGGATCAGCGGGCCACCATGCAGCTGTTCTGCTCTCATTTAATTAGCTTTTAGTGAACCTGTAAAGAGCATGTCGCTATAGAGCACCAGCTTAGAGAGTACAGGGGAACTCAAATTTTCTTTTGCATTGCAGATAACTGGCAAAACGTTTTCATAATGAATAAACAGCTTTTGTTGGTGTAACATAGTTGGGTTTATGCTAAGTTACTTAAAGTATATCTTAAGCTCAAACTTTTTCTTTTGGTTTTGAATAGAGTGAGAAGTAGTTAAAACTCCTTAAAGTGGACCTGCACTTAAAATTAGAGTCCTATGTTATAGGGAACATCTAGAAATATGTAATTGCGCCTAAGCAAATTTGACCTTCTGTTTGGAATCCTTCAGGAAAAAAAGAAATGCAGTTTCGGGTATGTGTCCTGTGGCCACAGCCTCATAGTAGTATATCTTCATTGTGAGTACTACGACACTGCTCCCTCCGACTGCTAGTCTCAGGAAATTTGGAGCTGTCACAAAACTTGCACTATTCTCCTTGCTGGAGGCGTTATGAGGAAGCAAAACCCTGCCTCTACCAAGATGGCCACCTCCACAGTGAGACAGAACAAGCCATGGCAAATCAGCAATAAGGGAAAGATCGGCAATACTACACAACGCATTATAATTTAATGTAATAATGAACAAAATAAATCAGTTGTGAGGAATAACACTGTATTCATGCATACAGAATGCCACAATAGTTTACACTACATTGTCAGCTGCAAATGAGTTTGTGAGTCCAACATTTCATTGTTTCATTGTGTACAGGGAGTAAGAGGATTCATTGTGCCCAAGGAGGGGCCAGGCTTTACAGTTAACTCTTTCTCATCCAGCTGTGACTGGCTCTGTGAAAGGTATATGACCCACAAAGGACACATCAACTGTGATTGACATTCTTGCGATGGTCAGTGGGTCTTGTGGTAGATTGGGCGTCACACAGAAAGAAATTGTGCCTAGTGCACAGTTGGGAGAAGAGATAAAAAATTTACAGTTTTCAACCACGCACCAGAAGTAGATGGGGCTTAAAGCAGAACTAAGCACAACTCCGGGCACGACATTTATTAGCTGGCAGTATTGGTTGTAAGTATAATGTGCTGCTTGTTTTTTCCCCCACTCTGTAATTATTGAGAAATCCAGGGTGTATTATTTGAATCCTAGCTTGAATCCCTATGATATCCAGTTTGTAAGACCGATGGCCGCTATGCTCTGAATCCCTGTGGCCACTGGTCTTGTCTCTGCCCCGCTTTAATTCTTACATAATTATGTCCCTGCTCTCTGTAGTGGACGGACTCGAGAATCTGAAATTTCTGGTCTGTGCCGCCCACTGTGGATAGCAGATACAGCCCTCAGCTCCACCTCCGCCCTTCACTCCTCCTCCAGCTCACTGCTCATGCTGACGCAGCTCCTGCCTTTTCCATCATGGGAAATATAGTCCTCTTTCTCTGCTCGGATGTAATGTACAGCATGAGGGAAATTCCTCCTCCAGGCCCCAGAAGCAAGCACATTTTTCCTAAGGAAATTTGATGTGGGGCTGATACTTTTCGATTACAAGAAAAGTAAGGCACAGCACTATCATTTAAACTGTGTCAGTAGTTCAAGAGAACTTAGAGAGAGGATCAGTAATTCCAAAGATAGTTAGATCTGGGAGTTCAGCTTTAAAGGGTGAGGCTAGAGCACTGCTTATTTTAGATGAAGGATGAATGCTAAAGTGTTACTAAACC